AAATAATAATAATAATAATAATAATAATAATAATAATAATAATAATAATGGTGAATAATAATGGTAATAATCTATATAAATAAAATTTAATGTTTGATTGTGGTTAACCACTGGACAAATTGACACCAAATTTGGACAGAATACACCTGTCAGGCCAATGAGTGACCATCACTCAAAAAACACTGAAAAACACAACAGAAGAGATTTAAAAAGCCCAAAAACAAAAAATTACATTACAACACATGCTCAAAACCACATACACACACACACACATATATATACACACAAAACACATATACACAGATTGGGCCACAGCAACATGTGGCAGGGGACGGCTAGTCTATATAAATTTTGTTTGTGGGATTAACATAACTCAAAAACCACTGGACGAATTGACACCAGATTTGGACACAATACACCTCTCAGACCAACAAGTGACCATCACTCATAAAAACACTGAAAAACACAACAGAAGGGACTTAAAAAGCCAAAAAACATTACGATGCATGCGCAAAACCACACATATGCAAACACACATATATACGAATATATACACACACAAAGGACATACACACAGACTATGCCACAGCAACGAGTGGCAGGGGACAGCTAGTAATAATCTATGTATATAATAAAAGTCAGTGTTTGTATGCGGAGGGAGGACGGTGTATGTGGCAGCTTTCTGATTGGCTGCCACTTTCACAGGCCACTGTGACCAGCATGGGTGACGGACCTGGATCAAACTTGGCACACATAACCCCCATTAACCCCTTTACGTCCTGGTGAGGTTTGGGGGAGGATGGGCAAAGGTTGATGGGATTTGTAGTACTTTCAAACCCACCGGTTCCCACAGACCACTGTGGCCCCCAACAAAGACCAATAAAGAGCAAGCTTGGCACACAGAGCCTCCATGACCCATTCTACATCCTACTGCAGTTTGGAGGAGGGTGGACCATGGATGATGGGACTTGAAGTACCTCTACTCCCTTCCCGAGACCGCTGCGACCCTCATCCAATTACCGATCAAGACCACACTTAATAATCCCCATGTCCTGGTTAGGTTTGGGGGAGGACAGACAATTGGTGATGGGATTTGTAGCACTTTCCCACCCTTTGGTTCCCACAGACTACTGCGGCCCCCAACAAAGACCAATGAAGACCAAACTTGGCACATGACCCACTTGGCACATGACCCACCCTCATGACCCACTATACATCCTGGTGTGGTTTGGAGGAGGATGGACTATGGATGGTGGGACTTGAAGTACCTTCACTAACTTCCTGAGAGCACTGCGAGCCACATAAATGAATGATAAAGACCAACCTTGGCACACAATGCCCTTCTCAAATTACCCGGGCAGCGCCGGGTCCCCAAGCTAGTTAATAATAAGAATAATGATGGTAATTAATAAGAAGAATGCTAATTATTAATAATATAATAATGCTAATTAATAATAATAAGAATAATGGTAAATAATAATGACGATGATAATGGTGATGATGATGATGATTTTTCAGTTTCTGGGCTTTGTAGTTCTGTAGTTTGCCAAAGGCTAACCCCCGGGGTCCCGTGGCACTGAGCCACAGCGAGCTTCCTCTGTAAATGAATCCAGGCACCTTGGCATTAAAACTCCCCAATAAAAATTGTGAAGAAAACATGGTTTTGTTCCCATTTCCCTGCACTGATTCAGAAGGTTAAGGCGGAGGCCCCGTTTCCTTGATGGGAAACCAGATGGTGCTGCCGAATATTCCCCGTAGATTCAAAGAAATGCGAGTGGGAGATTGAAGGCACAAGAAAAAAGCAGAAGGAGGCAATTAATCCCTTAAGAACATGCGCGTGCACACACACACACACATGTGTGTGTGTGTGTTGCTGGAGTGAATAACAACCAGAACTTTATGCAAGAAGAAGCATGGTTACTTCCAAGAATATGTTTCATGAATATTTTTATGATCATTTCTGCAGATATTTTAATGATTTTTTTTGCAAATATTTTAATAATTATTTTTGGTGAATATTTCTGTAGATATTTTAAGGAATACTTTGGGAAATATTTTCACAAATAAGTATATCTTTATTTTTGTGAATATTTCTATGACTATTTTTTTTACAAAAAAATAATTGCAAATATTTTTAGGATAATTATTTGTGAATATTTTACTGAATATTTCTGTGAATATGTTAATGAATATTTTTCTGGATATTTTAATGCTTACTTTTATTGAATATTTCTGCAAATATTTTTATGATTATTTTTTGCAGATATTTTAATGAATACTGAATATTTCTGTGAATATGTTAATTTTTTTTGTCATGTCAGGGGCGACTTGAGAAACTGCAAGTATGTTAATGAATATTTTTCTGAATATTTTTATGCTTATTTTTTATTCAATATTTCTGCAAATATTTTTAGGATTATTATTTGTGAATATTTTACTTAATATTTATGTGAATATGTTAATGAATATTTTTGTGGATATTTTAATGCTATTTTTATTGAATATTTCTGCAAATATTTTAGGATTATTATTTGTGAATATTTTACTGAATATTTATGTGAATATGTTAATGAATTTTTTGGATATTTTAATGCTTATTTTTATTGAATATTTCTGCAAATATTTTTAGGATTATTATTTGTGAATATATTACTGAATATTTGTGGGGGGGGGTTGTGTGTGTGTGTGTGTGTCAGGAGTGACTTGAGAAACTGCAAGTTACTTCTGGTGTGAGAGAATTGGCCGTCTGCAAGGACATTGCCCAAAGGATGCCCAGATGTTTTGATGTTTTGCCATCCTTGTGAGAGGCTTCTCTCATGTCCCTGCATGAGGAGCTGGAGCTGACAGAGGGAACTCATCTATGCTCTCCCTGGATTCAAGCCTGCGACCTATTGGTCTTCAGTCCTGCCGGCACAAGGGTTGAACCCACTGAGCCAGATGGATAGATAAGTGGATAGATGGATAAACAGATAGGTAGGTAGATGAATAGATGATCATTAGATAGATGAAAGGTAAATTGATAGATAGATGGATAGAGAGAGATAATATTTAGGTAGATAATAGGTAGATGGATGTATGGATAGATAGAAGAGAGATGTGGATGGATGGATAAATAGATGGATAAATGGAGAAATATGTGGATAGACCGATAAATAGATAACAGGTAGATAGAGAGATGTGGACAGATAATGGAGAGATGTGAGGATAGATAGACGGATAGATAGAGGGGAAAATAGAGAGAAGGGTGGATGGATAGATAGATATGTTGATGGATGGATAGAAAGACAGACAGAGGAGAGATGTGTGGATAGATAGAGGGAAAGATAAAGAGAGAGGGGGGATGGATGGATGGATGGATGGATAGATAGATATGTTGATAGATGGATGGATGGATGATAGGATGGAGATGGCATGGATAGATAGATAGATAGATAGATAGATAGATAAAAGATAGATAGATAGATAGATAGATAGATAGATAGATAGATAGATAGATAGAGGAGGATGGATGGATGGATGGATGGATGGATGGATAGATAGATAGATAGATAGATAGATAGATAGATAGATAGATAGATAGAAAATAGGTGGATGGATAGATATGTTGATAGATAAATAGGTAGATATGTGGATGGATAGATTGATGGATAGATAAGGTAGATAAGAGGTATATGATAAATAGATGGATAAATTGATAGATGGATAAATAGATTTACCTATCCATCCATAGGTAGGTGGAGAGATACATAGGTGGATGGATGAAGGGATGGATAGGCGGATGATAGAAAAGGAGGGAGGAAAGGAAGGAAGGAATAAATAAACAAACAAATAAATAAATAAAATATTTAAAATATAAAATTTATTTATTTATTTATTTGTCATGTCAGATCAACCAGTCAATTATATTACATTTCTAACAGAACAAAGCAAACAAACAGACAAGATACAACATATGTGAGTTTGGTAAAAAGCCATTATTTTATTTTATTTTATTTTATTTTTAGCTTTTATTATTATTAAGCTTTTAAAAATATTATTATATTCCTTATAATATATTTTATCTGTTATTATTTTATTTCTTATTTTATTTTATATTTCATTTTTAGCTTTTATTATTATTATTATAATATTTTATTTTTAGCTATTATTATTTTATTTTATATTTTACAGAAGCGACCAGCATGCAAAACATAAAATAAAATAAAAATAGCTAAAAATAAAATATAATAATAATAATAATAACAAAATGAAATATAAAATAAAATAAGAAATAAAATAATAATAGATGAAATATATTATAAGGAATATAATAATAATTTTTAAAAGCTTAATAATAATAAAAGCTAAAAATAAAATATAAAATAATGGCTATAATAAAAATAATAATTCAGATGGACAGAGTTTTGGAGCACAAGGTTCCTGATTTCATGATTGTGATAAAAACAAAGTACGGATCGTCGATGTTACAACAGCAGGATTGAAGAGAAACAACTGGAAAAGCTGACACGATACGTGGATTGAAAGATCGAACTGCAAAGACTCTGGCACAAGCCAGTCGAAGTGGGCACACTGGGTGCAGTGCCTCAAGACCTTGGTCTGCACGCAAAAACAATTGGTGCTCACAAAATCTCCACCTGCCAGCTGCAAAAGGCCACCCTACTCGGATCTGCATGCACTATACACAATGTATCACACAGTTCTAGACACTTGGGAGGAGTCCAACGTGGGACCCAATACAACAGCCAGCAGAGTAACCTTGTGGTCTATCTATCTAATAATAATAATAATAATAATAATAATAATAATAATAGCCACCTAAGAAAATATTATATGTCTATATGAATAAACACAGTAACAATAATAATAGTTAAAATATAATAATAATAATAATAATAATAATAATACTAATAGGGATGAGGAGGATGAGGATGGGCGGTGGAGCCCTGCAGGGGAGGCCACTGGTGGTGCCTTTGGTCCTTGCCCATGCCCTTGCTTCCTACCTTGGTGGGGGGCGGTCGGGGCAGCTGGGTGGCCGGGGGCAGGCAGAGGAGCAGGAGGGCGGCCAGGGCGGCCACAGACACGCCGAGCAGCGCCCACAGTGCCACGCGAGGGACCCCCGCCGCCATCCCCGCCTCTCCTCCGTCTCCTCTTCTGGCTTCTCCTCCGCCCGCTCCTCCTTCCCTCCCTCCCTGCTCTCCTCCTCCTCCTCCTCCTCCCCTCTTCTTCCTCTTTGAGTCATACAATCCTCCAGTGGGGAGGGAGGAAGGGGCACCCAAAGGCCATCTAGACCAACCCTCCCGACAGGTGGCCAATCCATCCAGGCACAGCTCAGATAGATATTATAGATATGAGAGAGAGAAATTGAGAGAGAGAGGCAGAGAGATTGATAGATGTACAATCATAGGCTTGGAAAGGGGTCCCCAAAGGCCACCTAGTCTGCCAGGTGGAGCCCTGCCAGTGGCCAGATACTGGTCAAAGGACATTTAATCAGCTACCAAGTTTGCAAAATTTGTGTTTTTTGTTTTTTTGGGGGGGTTTTTTTAATCTGTTTGTTTTGTTCTGTTAGAAATGTAATACAATGTTCTGGTTGCGGATGACACGATAAATAAATAAAATACCTAGTCTGCCAAAAACCCTCCAAGAGGAGGCCATCCAACCATAGATATGCTGCATAGACACAGATGATCCAAATGTCTGTCTGTCTATCTATGATAGATATAGTAACATAGACTTGGATTTTTTATTTATCGTGTCAGTGCAACCAGTCCATTATATTACATTTCTAACAGAACAAAGCAAACAAACAGAAAAATACAAAATTTGTGAGTTTGGTAGTTGATTAAATGTCGTTTGACCAGTATCTGGCCACTTGGAGTGCCTCTGGTGTTGCTGCAAGAAGGTCCTCCATTGTGCATGTGGCAGGGCTCAGGTTGCATTGCAGCAGGTGGTCAGTGGTTTGCTCTTCTCCACACTCGCATGTCATGGATTCCACTTTGTAGCCCCATTTCTGAAGGTTGGCTCTGCATCTTGTGGTGCCAGAGCGCAGTCTGTTCAGCGCCTTCCAAGTCACCCAGTTTTCTGTGTGCCCAGGCAGGGAGTCTCTCATTTGGTATCAGCCATTGATTGAGGTTCTGGGTTTGAGCCTGCCATTTTTGGACTCTCGCTTGCTGGGGTGTTCCAGCGAGTGTCTCTGTAGATCTTAGAAAACTATTTCTTGATTTAAGTCGTTGACGTGCTGGCTGATACCCAAACAGAGGATGAGCTGGAGATGTCTCTGCCTTGGTCCTTTCACTATTTGTTGCTACTTCCCCGGATGTCAGGTGGTGCAATACCGGCTAAGCAGTGTAATTTCTCCAGTGGTGTAGGGTGCAGGCACCCCGTGATAATGCAGCATGTCTCATTAAGAGCCACATCCACTGTTTTAGACTTGGAAAGGGGCCTCCAAAGGCCATCCAGTCCAACCCTCTGCCTCCAGGCAGAGATCAGATAGATGTTATACATATGATTGAGAGAGAGAGAGAACCATAGAGAGATACAATATCATAGGCTTGGAAAGGGGCCCCAAAGGCCATCTAGTCTGCCACAAACCTTTCAAGAGGAGGCCATCCCATCATGGATCTGGTGCATAGACACAGATGATTTAGATATTAATAGAGATATAGATATAAATATATATCTATGATCGATAGAACATCACAGGCTTCGAAAGGGGCACCCAAAGGCCATCTAGTCCAAACCTCCCAACTGGTGCCCATCCAGGCAGAAATTATTATTATTATTATTATTATTATTATTAAACTTTATTTGTACCCCGCTAGCATCTCCCGCAGGACTCGATGCGGCTTACAAAGACCAAGGCCTCAACACAACAACAGCAAAACAATAACAATACAATTTAAAGCAATTTAAAAACACAAGCAATAACAAAACATTACATCATTACGCAATAAAAAAACCAGGGCCGGGCCAGTGATGTTAAAAAGTGCTGGGTGTGGCAGGTGGTATGTTGGATTTCTGGGCAAGTGCAATGGGCAGAGAGTCTTAACTCTAATAAAGTGCTTCTGGGACATAGTGCTGGGTTATCCTATTCTGGAAAGGCACATCGGAATAGCCAGGTCTTCAAGTTCTTCCTAAAGACTGCCAACGTGGGTGCTAGTCTCATGTCTTTGGGGAGGGTGTTCCAGAGTCGGGGGGCAACCACAGAGAAGGCCCTGTCCCTCGTCCCCACCAAATGCGCCTGCGACGCAGGTGGGATCGCGAGCAGGGCCTCTCCGGATGAATGAAGAGAGCGCGTGGGTTCATAAACAAAGATGCGGTCACGCAGGTAGGCAGGTCCCAAACCGTTTAGGGCTTTGTAGGTAAGCACCTGCACCTTGAATTGGGTTTGGTAGGTGAACGGCAGCCAATGGAGTTCCTTAAACAGGAGGGTTGACCTCTCTCTGTAGGGAGCGCCAGTTAACATCCTGGCCGCCGCCCGTTGAACCAGTTGGAATTTCTGAGCCGTTTTCAAGGGCAGCCCCACTTAGAGCGCATTACAGTAATCCAATCTATAGGTGACCATGGCATGGACCACCCCGGCCAGATCAACCTTTGCAAGGTACGGTCACAGCTAGCGCACAAGTCTTAGCTGTGCAAAAGCCCTCCCGGACACCGCCGAAGCCTGAGCCTCAAGCGTAAGTGATGAATCCAGGAGGACTCCCAAACTGCGGACCTGTGACTTCAGGGGGAGTGCAACCCCGTCCAGCACAGGTTGCCACCCTACACCCTGATCCACAGTTTACGATTGACCAGGAGGACCTCTGTCAGATAGATATTGGGAAACAAGTTGTCCAGGTATACCTGGCCGCTCTAAATGTGTTCAAGTCCCCAGGGCCAGATCAACTACACCCAAGAGTATTGAAGGAACTAGCAGAAGTCATCTCAGAACCATTGGCAGTCATCTTTGAGAGTTCTTGGAGAACGGGAGAAGTTCCAGCAGATTGGAGGAGGGCCAATGTGGTCCCAGTCTTCAAGAAGGATAAAAGGATGACCCAAACAATTACCGTCTGGTCAGCCTCACGTTGATACCAGGCAAGATTCTGGAAAAGATTGTTAAGGAAGTGGTCTGCAAACACTTAGAAACAAATGCGGTCATCGCTAATAGTCAACATGGATTTATCAAAAACAAGTCATGCCAGACTAATCTGATCTCTTTCTTCGATAGAGTTACAAGCTGGGTAGATGCGGGGAATGCCGTGGATGTAGCGTACCTGCATTTCAGTAAGGCCTTCGACAAGGTCCCCCATGACCTTCTGGCAAGGAAACTAATCCAATGCAGGCTAGGCAAAACTATGGTGAGGTGGATCTGTAATTGGTTAAATGGACGAACCCAGAGGGTGATTCTCCCCAAGGCTTCCTCTTCATCTTTGAAAGAAGTGACGAGCGGAGTGCCACAAGCAGGGTTCCCTCCTGGGCCCAGTCCTGTTCCAACATCTTTATTAATGATTTAGATGAAGGGTTAGAAGGCATGTTCATCAAGTTTGCAGACGACACCAAATTGGGAGGGAGAGCCAATACTCCAGAGGACAGATTAGAGAAATGGGTGAAAACTAACAAAATGAAGTTCAACAGTGACAAATGCAAGATACTCCACTTTGGCAGAAAAAATGAAATGCAAAGATACAGAATGGGGGACAATACCTGGCTCGAGAACAGGACGTGTGAAAAAGATCTTGGAGTCCTCGTGGACATCAAGTTAAACATGAGCCAACAATGTGTTGTGGTGGCAAAAAAAGCCAATGGGATTTTGGCCTGCATCCATAGGAGTCTAGTGTCTAGATCCAGGGAAGTCATGCTCCCCATGCTCTATTCTGTGTATTGTGTCTAATTCTGGGCACCACAATTGAAGAAAGATGTTGACAAGCTGGAATGTGTCCAGAGGAGGGCGACTAAAATGATCAAGGGTCTGGAGAACAAGCCCTATGAGGAGCAGCTTAAAGAGCTGGGCATGTTTAGCCTGAAGAAGAAAAGACTGAGATGAGACATGATAGCCATGTGAGAGAAAGTCATAGGGAGGAGGGAGCAAGCTTGTTCTCTGCTTCCCTGGAGACTAGGACACGGAACAATGACTTCAAACTACAAGAAAGGAGATTCCATCTGAACATGAGGAAGAACTTCCTGACTGTGAGAGCCATTCAGCAGTGGAACTCCTTTTTTGGTGGAGGCTCCTTCTTTGGAGGCTTTGAAACAGAGGCTAGAGGCCATCTGTCAGGGGTGCTTTGAATGCAATATTCCTGCTTCTTGGCAGAATGGGGTTGGACTGGATGGCCCATGAGGTGTCTTCCAACTCTAGGATTCTATTAGAGATTTGAGAGAGAGAGAGAGAGAGAGAGAGAGAGAGAGAAAGATAGATACAACATTCAGAGAACTGTGAGAGATTGGTTGCGGAAACTGAGTGTTGACTTCTTCCATGACAGTTTCAGAAAATTTGTTCATCGTTGGCAGAAATGTATCCAATTGTCTAGTGATTATGTAGGAAAGTGAATAGTGGTAGTTAAAGACCACATTCTAAGGATTAGAATGGAGGCATTACTTTTCATTCAACCCTATAATATCATAGGCTTGGAAAGGGCCCCCCAAAAACCATCTAGTCTGCCACAAACCCTCCAAGAGGAGGCCATCCAACCATGGATATGTTGCATAGACAAAGATGATCCAGATATCTTTATCTATACCTATACTATCTATCTATGATTTAATATCCTAGATGTGAAAGGGGCGCCCAAAGGCCATCTAGTCCAACCCTCCCAAAAGGTCCAGGCAGAGATCAGATAGATATTATAGACTAGCCGTCCCCTGCCACACGTTGCTGTGGCTCAGTCTGTGTATATGTATTTTGTGTGTGTATATGTGTATATGTGTGTGTATATATTTGTGTATATGTGTATATTTCCCTGCTTCTTGGCAGAATGGGGTTGGACTGGATAGCCTCCACTGTTACCTCCTCCAATGATGGACCAGACTTGGCACACAGAACCCCACATGACCAACCAAACCTACTATAGGGGTTTGAGGGGACTGGCTCATCATGGTGGGAGTTGTAGTTTACCCTCAGCTAGAGAGCACACTGATCCCCACCCATGATATAGCCAAAGCAAACTTGCAC